CACCCAACACCAGTCCTCTATACCCACACCTCCATATGAATCACATTCATAGTCACGTACGGTGGCGTGGCTCACCGCCGGTTTCAACATTCATGAAATTCAACTGAAGCCAAACATAGCTTCTGTTTCTCAACAGTCCACTTTCGTCAACATATCCGCAGGATTCTGAGCTGTGTGTATCTTCTCCAGGAACAACTGTTCATCTTCTAGGAGAGAGCGAATAAAATAATACCTCAGTTGAATGTGTTTCGTCCTAACATGAAAAGTATTATTCTTCGCAAGGTGAATTGCACTCATGCTATCACTATGAATTATTCCAATTCCTTGCTCCTTGCCTGCCATGAAACTCTGTAGCTAAATTAACTTGTGAGCATTAGTGATAAAAATGTATTCGACTTCCACAGTTGAAAATGCAATTGCCTTTTACAACTTGGAAACCCAACTATCCATTGTGTTCCTCAATGTAAGGAAATGCCTTATTGTACTCCTATCCACATCTCCTCCCAGATCTGAATCTGCAAATTCCAGTAGAATGATCCCTGCACTTCCATAGCAAAGTGCTCTGTTGATTATTCCCCTCAAGTACCTGAAAATACACATTATCGCCTCCCAAAAATGTTTGTCTATATTGCCCATATACTTACTGATAGCCAATTGCACATGCAATATCGAATATGGTACAAATCAACGCGTACATCAAACTTCCAACAACTAAAGCATACAAAGTTCTCTCCATCTGTGCTTGCTCTGTTTCAGAGTTAGGCGATAGCTCCGAAGATAGTTTGAAGTGACTACTTAAGGGGTGCAAACTAGTTTTGCCTCTCCCATGTTGAACATTTATAGGATCTTCTCAACATACTCTGCCTAAGAACTTCAGTAATCATGCACTCCTGTCCTTGCCAATTCTCATCTCAAGGATTTTCCTGGTTGGACCTAAATCCTTTATCTCAAACTCACTTGATAATTGTTTCTTCAAGTCCCTGATTTTCTCCATATCTATCCCTGCAATAAATATGGTATCCATATACAAAAGAAGCATGGTATAAAAATTACTAGAGTGTTTAATGAAGCAACAGTGATTTTTCAAACACTTCGTGCATCCACTGTCTAACATGAACATGTCAAAACTCCTATACCACTATTTTGGGGCCTACTTCAAGCCATAAATGCTCTTCTTCAATATGCAAACCAAACCTTCTTTGCCTGAAACCTTATGACCATCTGGTTGCACCATGTATAGTTCCTCCTCCAGATCTCTATGTAAGAAAGCTATTTTTACATCCATTTGTTCTGGTTGTAGATTTTCCTCTGTTATCAGACTCGGTACAACCCTGATAGTTGTCATTTTCACCACTTGAGAAAAGATCTCTGTACAATACACTCCTTCCTTCTGTTGAAAACCCTTCACAACAAGTCTTTCTTTGTAGTACGGCTCATCTTTAAACAAGTAAACCTACTTGTTGTTTAGTGCTCTTTTACCATATGGTAATATTGTCAAACCCCAAATCTAATTTGATTCTAAACGCTGCATTTCTTCATCCATAACAAGCTTCCACTTTCTTGAATCTTCAACTTAAGTGTCATCCTCAAAGCATTCAGATTCACCACTATTAGTTAGAAACAAATAGTGAAACGAAGAAGAATACCAGTGTACGAGTTCTATCACTCTGTTGAATATTCTAACTTCTAAAACAGGTGACTAAGGAACTGCTAGTGCTCCTTCTAATCAAGCACAACTTCTTTCTCCAATTTCTTGATCACAAGTGCTTTTTATCTTAATATACTTGGACTCTTCAGAAGTAACTGACGGGCTGTCCTGAGTTCATATCATTTCTGTGTACATCTCCATCTCATTGAAAGTGACATCTGTGCTCCTGATGATTTTTTTTTTTATTTTGACAATCTCATAACTTCAACCCAAACTCATCTGAGCAATATCCAATGAAGGTGCACTCAGACATATTTTGAGTAAAGTCAGACCTTGCATCAATATTGCACATATGCAAAACACCAAATTACTCTTAAATAAGATATATTTACCTTTTGGTCGCTACATGCTTCTTCTGGTAAGCCTTCCTATAAAGGTACAGATGGACAATGGTTAATCAAATAAACTAACATTATTTACTGCTTCAACCCAAAACTGTTAGGACAACTCTGCATGTAGTATCATGCTCCTAGCACGCTCCGTGATTGTTCTGTTCATACGCTCAACCGCACCATTCTGTCGTGATGTTCTTGGGATAGTGAACTCATGCATGACCCCCTCTGTAACACAAAAATTTTAGAAGTTATGATCATGGCACTCACCCCCATTATCTGATTTGAGACACTTCTGCTTCAAGTCTGTCTCATTTTCTATCATAGCCATCCACTTCTTAAAGACCTTAAATACATCGGTTTGCTTTAAGAAATAAACACAGATCTTTCTCGTGTGATCATAAAAAACTTAACAAAATAGTGAGAACCTCAAATGGATTGAACCAGAGCAGGACCCCATACATCAGTATGCACTAACTTCAATTTCTTTAATTTCACCACCGATCCGCTCTTAGAGAAAGAGACTTTCTACTGTCTGTCATATATACAATTTTCACATAACTTTAGATCAACTGATTTCAAATTATGATGCTTATTTTTAGAAAGTAGAAACTCGATACCTCTCTCAGTCATATGGCCAAGCCTAAGATGCCACAAACCTGCATCAACCTTGGTTCCAACCACATGAATGAAATCAATCATTTCATTGATCAAGTAAAGAGTGCCTTCAATATTGTCCCGAGCCACCACCAGTTCCCCCTAGTTACCTTCCATGAATCAACTGTGAAAGTAGTGACGAGTATTGACTTTGTCAGCTGGTTCACAAAAAAAGTGATTTCTCTCCATACTTGAAACATGTCCAACTTCAGTAAGCTTCCAAACTGTTTTATCTGACAACCTTATATCCACATCACATTTCGCTACAATACTGAAGGCCTCGTTATCTCTAGATAAACCTTCCATGGATTACTATGAGTGTAGTTTTTAAACATTGCTTTATCAGCAAAAATATGAAAATAGACACATGAATCTATTATCCAAGATTCAATACTTACTAGAGATAACACTAGAGAGTCATTTTAGATTTCACCTGTAGAGACATTTATAGATAGATTTCTTTCCCATCATCTAACACCAACTATCTTTTAAGTTTTACTCTTTCTTGAAATGTCCTTTCTTAACTCAATTCCAACATTTTCTTTTGTTATTTCCTTCGCTTGACCTGAACTTTCCTTTCCTATACTTGAATGTGCCTCTGCTCGTATTCTTGTCCAGAAGTTTTAGTTTTCAACATTTAATGTGAAATCTGAAGACCCACCATTCACAACTTTTCTGTGAAATTCTTCATTCAGCATTAAACCCATGATGTCATCGAAGTTCAACTTCAAATTCTTTGAAGAATTACCCACCGTCGTGACCAAATCATTCTAACTGTTCGACAATGAAATTAGTATCACCGGTGTTCTGATCTCATCATCAAACATGATCCCCACAGAACACAACTAACTCATCACAATATTGAAATTATTCAAATGTTCTGTTATTGAACTGTCTTCTATCATCTTCATGTTGAACAACTGCTTCATCAGAAGAACCTTTTTGAAAGTAGAAGATTTTTCATACATTTTTGTCAGTACTACCATAAGATCCACCATAATTTTCTCATTTACTAAGTTGAATGCAACATATGAGAAAAGTGATAATAGAAACAAACCTAATGTCGTTCAATCCAACACTTCCCATTCCTCCATAAGCATATACTTGGGCTTCTTGGTAATTCCTTGTAATGACAATTATGACTTGTTCTGATGCAGCAAATCCTATACTTGCATCTTCCAAATTGCAAAGTTCGTCCCATTGAACTTCTCTTCTTTGAATCTTACTTCGTCGTTCATTGCTCCCACTTGAATCAAACCATGCTCTGATATCACTGTTTTGAGGAAGAACTTAGAAGAATCACCTTCAAGATACACCATGGAATATGATCGCATGATTCAAGAAAATCAGAACAAACTTACGAACAAAAACACATCAAAAGCAAATAAAAAAAGAACACAAGAATTTAACGTGAAAAAAATTGATAATGGGAAAAAAACCATGAAGCTACATCACAAGAAAAATTTCAATATGAAAATCAGAGAATTCTCTTCACACTACAAGGAAACTTGCAAGACCTCACTCCAAACTTTTCTCCAATCTGACGCGACAAACACATCAAAATCATCGAAATTTTCCTCTTTGATACTTACATTCATCAGGATTTTGTTGAAGAACGCACAAGAAGGCTTACATATGTCACTTAAATTCGTCCTTAAAACCACAAATCACATTATAACTATTCTGGATGCATAAGCTACCGAAATTGGGCACCTTAGTCGGAAAGGAAAAAAAAAACACACGCATGGGGACGCTGGCGCAGAAGTGCCCAAAGTGGGTGTGATGCTTGAGCGCCCAATATCGGGTGCCTAAGCGCCCATAGGGGGATGCTTGAGCACCGCTCTCTCGATTGCTCCGGAGGGAAGAGCGCAAGAGCACCCGAATCAAGGTGTATAGGCGTTGGCCGCTCGATCTGTGCAACCTGTGTGTGCTCGAAATCAGCCGCTGGCCGCTTGGTCTGTGCAGCCTGTGGGTGCTCAAAATCAGGCTCACACATGCATAAACATTTTAATTTGATCTCGGCAACTCATTAGTTGTCAAGCAAATTTTATGTCCTTAATGATTTAAAAAAAAAATTTCAAGTAGAATCAAGATTCATATTAAAACATTCAGGTAAAAACGTTATGGCAAAAAAATTTATAGCTAACATATCTTTCGATATTCATTTGACATTTGTTTGAGTCACAGTCATATCTATATTTTGCATTTATAGATGTTGAATCTTCAAATAACCAATCAATTTAGCCTCCATATGGATCAGCAGTATGAAAAAAAATCAAAAAATTGAAATAGAAAAAATAAAACTATTCAGCTTATACTTATCATTAACTCTTTCGTTGATTATCATCATCAAATGATTTTGCTGATTCAAAATTAAAATCAAGTGTCTTTTGAAGCTTCCGACGGTGGCGAACATCATATTCTTCATATCCATCCATCTGCCACATAAAATTTCACGTGCTCATTAAAAAGGAAGGTATGAGAATGAAGAATTTGTACAATTTCTCATAATAATTATGGAGATGCAGTTGGCTCAGGTAGTTAGCTTTTCTCTACCATCCGATTTGCTTTCAACGACTGAGATTAAAATCAACAAAATTAAAAGAATAAGAGATATCACTCAATTTTTATGCATTTACATAACAAACAAATAAACATCAATTTTTACACATATGCCACTTCATCTATACATGAAAAGGTGTACATTACTTTTTTAAAAGTAAAAATAATGTTTTTGATGTGTATCAAAGATTTGGGTGGCGTAAATGTAAAAAAATAGAGTTTAGGTGTTAGATATGTAAATATATAAGAATTAGTGGTATGTACAGAAATGCCCCCAAAAAGTTTTGAGAAATAATTTCTAGATTCAATCTCAGCAATTCATAATAAATTAAGCGGTTTCAATACCTGACGAAGATGACTAACTGTGATTCCTGTGAGATCAACATCAAGTAAAATCAGTTCTCTGCACATTTCAAACAAATTTGAAGGAAGCGAATTTAGGCCACCATTGTTATCCAGATGCAAAATCTGTAAAAGAAAAATGTCAGCTTTCAAGCAGCGAGAAGTTAAAGCACCAAATCATAAATGAAATATAAGGATTAACGCAATTAAATGAATAAATTCAAGAAGGACCAATGTCGTGATCAGCTCTACCGAAACAAATAGAATAAATTCAGTGGGCATCAGATGAAAATTCGAATTTTGAATTATAGAGGTGAAGTAGAAAATAAAATTTACTAAATATGCCATCTAAATTAGTCAAAACTATTTTTAAAATTGATATTCATATGAACTGTGAAAAAATACCAATAATCTGAAAGATAAATGGATGAAGCCAGAGAATTGAAACATTATTTAGGAAATGCCTCACTATTTTTAGCTGCCAATGATAACTACTTCCTAAAAGAAAGACTATGTTACACAAATTCAGATTATTACTACTGCTACTCCAAATTCAGATATATGGCTAAATTGCTAGCTAGACCATTAACTAAAAAAAAACAAACAAATTACCAAATTGTTATTGCATACTTGATTAAATACAAACTTGACACTAAATTTTCTGAATAATTTGTACTGATGTTCTGTTTATAAAAAAAGATTTACATACATACCAATTAATTCTTTATGAATTTACATAAATAACACCTAAACTTCAATGTTTACATACATGCCAACTTACCTACACATGAAAAGGTATATTTCACTCTTTTAAAGTAAAATGGTGGAATTTTTTATGTGATATGAAAGAATTGGGTCTTATAACTCTAAGAAATAAGTTCAGGTATGAGATGTAAATACACAGGAATTGGGTGGTATATATGTAAATGTCCCTACAGAAAACATGCTACTTGCAGCTGCAAAAAGAAGCAGACCTTCAAACTTTTTAAATTTGCAAATGTTTCTGGTAATTTGGTCAAACAATTATTTGAGAAATCTATCTGCATAATTAGAGTAAAAAACATGTTAGCTATGACACACATGATAATTGCTTGTATTAACTGCAACTCATGGAAGGAAATTAAAAAAAAAAATGAAAAAAGAAGTAGAACCTCAGCAAGGGAGGAACAATTTCCAATTGTTGCAGGCACCGAGCTTATACTGCCAGTCAACAATAAAAGTCAACTAAAGAAAATGTGTTCAATCTACAAAGCAAGCCATCCCGCCATGTTCAAATAATAAGATGAAGGTTTACATAGATACCACTCAATTCCTACATATTTACATATCTAACACCGAAATTACAATTTCTACATGCATAACACCTTACCTATGCATGAAAAGGTGTATTCCACTTTTTTAAAGTTAAAATGGAAAAATTTTTGATGTTATATGAAAGACTTGAGTGGTATAACTAAAAAAAAAGGGGGCATTATCATAATAGCGCACAATTTTTATGTATATACATATCTCACACCTATACTTTCATATTTACACACATAAAATTCAGATATTCAATATCACATCAAAAACATCACTACTATCACTTTTAAAAGTTGAATACAGCTTTTCAAGCATAAATTTAAAGCACCAAAGTACAATATATGTAAATAAGAAAGTTTAGGTGCGAGATATGTAAATACATAAGAATTGTGTGCTAAGTATGTAGATTTCGAAAAATAAAATTTAGGTGTTAGATATGTAAATACATAGGAATTGTGCGGTATGTATGAAAATGACCCTTATTTTATTCCTTCTACAAGTTTCATGGGATTAAAATTATATATAATTTAAATATGAGTAGGGACATCAACTAGAACAGATAACTAATTTTCAAGTTGTGAGATATCTGGTAAATATTCCCAAAGACATTAAATAAAATAAAAAAAAACAAATTCACTCGATGACGAGGAAATGTATAGTTATTATGAAGTGTACTAGCTGTATATTAAATGCTACCTATTGCAGTTTGCCTTAAGAACTCGAAGCTGATTCAGACAACCTAGTTCATCTGGTATGCATGTTAATTTGTTCTTTGCAATATGGAGTTGAGTAAGAGAGGTCAAGCTACCAACAGAAGGTGGCAAAGTAGCTAATCTGTTAAATAAAATGAAATGAAATCGCTATTAGTTAAAATTTCATAAAATAAACAAAATTGGTGAAAATCACATAAATATAAGCAACTTTAGTCATAAATTGAAACAGCTTAATTTATTAGAGATACAAGTATTCTACTATGTCAGTGTCTAGCCTAAGGGCAATTTTGTCTTTAATTAGCCTAACAACAATTTAGTCATTTATTATTTATTATTATTTACTATAAAAAGACTCTAATAGATTTAGGGTATGCATGATTTTCTACCTCTTGAATTGTAGGAATTGGAAGAGATCACTTGTCGGAGTTTAATTAAGTTGATTAAACTTATAACATCAAAATTTTATATCTTCTCATGTGTTTTAAATAAATGCATAGTATTATATATCGAATCGATCTATTTGATGTGTAGGATTTCATAAAATTGATTTGATTGAATTTCAGGGAATGCAAAACTTGAAGCGCATTTTAAAATTACCAACAGTTGCCTCAAATTTTGGGTGTTTCACCAAAAGAGTTAGCCTTCATGTCAGGAATTTGAATTAGACATAAGACTTGTATTTTTTGTTAAATAATTTCAAAATAAAGGAGAGTTAAATTGTCTTCATTGTTTTCTAGAAGTCAAGGGTTCAATTGAAAAAAATGATTTATGAAAAAAGTCGTGGACACAAACATAAAGAACTAGAATTTCAGTCATTGAAATAAAGGAAGACAAAAGTTTTTCTTAAAAAGTGTGGAACAAGTTCAGGCTGTCTAAGGGCACACTTCCACATGATAGTACCTTCCAAAAGCCATGGACTAATACAAGTTGTTTGTTTCTTTGCGAACTAAATGCTCTTAAGTGTTCTTTCAGTTTGTCCTACAAATTAACTCGGGTAGTAAGCTTGGAGAAAACACTGAAGCAGATTTGGTAGCAAGACTAACAATGCATACAAAAAACTATAAATAAATTGCACAAGCCAAAATTATTTAAGAAAGAATAGTTATCAAGACTTAAAAACTAAATGGAGTTTCAAATCTAGTTGAATTTCATAATTTTTTGGCTGATTTGCTCGTAAGCTACTGAGCAAACTAACTTAAAAGTATCAGAAAACAGACTTGCCTGTTACTGTTAAAAGATAATATTGTTAAAGACTTCAACTGCATAAGGCCATCCCAGTTAATCTTCTCATCAGATAAATCATTTGAATTCAGGTAAAGTTTCTGCACAATAGACATAAAATACTCTCTGTTTAACATTTTGTGAGGCAAACGCTCCAAGGCGAATCAAATCTTCAAAGCGACTTTCAACGAGTAGAAAAAGCAAGCTTAAAACCAACTTAAAACATGTCTAATAAGAAACATACATTCAACGACTTTAAAGTACCAATTTTCTCTGGCAATTCTTGAATGTGATTGTTGCTGATATCCAATATTCTAATATACGATGCACAATTCCAAACTTCATCAGGAATATCCTGCAAGTTTAACATAAAAAGATGCTTTTAAGTACTAACCAGCGGTGCAGCAAAAAAAGAGGATATTTTACGAGTCATCAAAAAAGATAAAGAAGCAATAAAATAGTTTTGCTTACCACCAATTAGAATCAATTGGTTAACAGATAAATTATTTTGTTCTGATGATGATATCTCAGTTATACAAAAAAAATGTGGAAACAAAGAAATTCACACAATAAATGATTTATGTGGTTCAATATTAAATTGATTTGCCTACATCCACGGGAAGGGAGATTCCACTAACACCATATGAGGAGAAAGAAAACAGCTTGGGGTTACAACTTCTACACTTCTCACCATGAATCTCTCAAGAGCACTAAGTCCTCTTTTATAAAGCCATAAATAAAGCCAAAAAACTAAATTATCCCTAATTATAATAAAAGCCACAAATATAGCAACCTCCATCTCATGTCTTACTTTCAGATAAGTGAGAGATTATTAAATGAGCTCCAAACTTCAAATCAGTTGCACCAAGATGGTTAGCCATGCACCCTCCTCCAGAAGTGATCATTTCAAACAAAAGTTTCCTATTTCCATTTAAAAAGAATTTACATTTTCCTATTTTGGAAACCAAATTCCAAAAAAAAAATTTTGTTTTAAAAATTCAGTTTAGAAAATAATTTCCTTTCCCAGAAGACCTTCATTCGAAATTACCTGAATTTACCTTTCTTAAGAAAAAATATTTCTTTTTTTTCTTCTCTGTTATCCATGCAAGCTTCTGCCTTTCCGTGAAGCTGCCGTCGAAACCCTTGAGCTCATCGGACCCCACTAGTATGTCGTCGAAGCCGATGCCAGAACAAAACTCACCGGACTTCCTCTTGAGCCGAGCCTCTTCCTACTCGTCAGATATTTACATCTAAGTCGTCGACTTGCCACAAGTTTGTTGCCGAACCTCTGAATCTGCCGGCAAAACATTTGACCACCTGTTGCAGAAAACAACGGCAATACACACCAAATTTGCTGTTGTCGAAGCCGAACCATGCTCTAATCACGAACTGGATGCTCTAATATCAATTGTTATGCAAAAAAAATGTGAAAACGAAAAATTTCACACAACAAAAATCAAACACAAACAATTTATGTGGTTCAACATTAAATTGATTCACGTACGTCTACGGGGAGGGAGCTTCCCCTAGCACCGGATAGGGAGAAAGAAAATAACTTATCATTACAACTTCTACAATTCTCACCATGACTCACTCATGAAACCTAAGTCCCCATTTATAGAGGATGATTAGAGCATACAAGTAAATAAAGCAAAAGACCAAATAACCCTAATTACAATAAAGTCCAGAAATACAACAATCTCGGCTAAAGTTAAAATAGCAAATGGATTTATGTTCATACAATTGGTGTATAAAATGCCACTAAAGCTAACTCATTAAAGGATAAATGATGAATCGTACTAAGTTTAGGCAACTACAATTCTCTAAGGGAAATTTGATTCACTCATACATTGGATGTTATATTATATCAAAATAATCATCACTAGTTTGGCTTATTGAAGCCTTAAAATTTCAACAATTTAGATATCAATTTAACCAAGATGGCTACAAAAAAAAAATCAGCAAATTCATCCTGATCACCCTCCCTGAACATCTGAGAGTCAATAAGACGTATGTCAACCATCCTCGAACATCTCTTAGTCCAAGGATATATATATATATATATATATATGCCAATTGTAGATATTAGTCTAACCAAGGCGACAGTCATATATCGGAAAAAAATTTAAAAATAAAAACAATATTGGAATTAGTGTCAATATTTTCAGCTATTGAGTTTAACACTAATGAAGAAGTTTTGAATATAAAATATATTCAACGCCCAAATAAGCAAGGTAAAAAATTACTAAACAAAACACCAAGAATCAAATGCAAGCTAATAAGTTCAAAAAGGCTATAATTTTCAAAGAAATTGAGTTGGTATGGATCATATTGAAGGAGTGATTTCCTATAGGTTTATTTAGAAGCATAAGGCTAGAGCTAATAGCCCATTTGGGATTGTTAAAAATCATAATGATAACGCCTACAAAATTAATCTGCTAGCAGACTATATGCTACTTCTAATGTCGTTGACTAATCATTGTGCTACGAGGGGTTGAATAATTCCAAAGAATAAGTTAAAGTCTCTCTTACCCGAGAAGAGTGACGTAGAATCGCCAATTTCACGGAACTCTCGTGTATGTGGGAATCAGGACGAGATTCCATTTGAGAAGTCCAATAGTGAAACTTTCCTGTTGGGTTCTGCTGTCAGACCCCGGGGCCCCCTTTCTATACTATATGAGGCCTAAATAGAGTTATTTATAAGGGAGTCTAATTAAATGTTGTTATTTCATATTTTTGGGGACTTTTGCTTTGGTTTATGTATTAGAGACTACTTTTCTCTAATTTTCTCCATTTGATTGTTGCATCTTTTGGTTTCTCTCATTTTATGTGCTTGTAACTTGATTGGATTGAGGCGAAGATCTCTTCTAAATGTCCAAATACCTCCTAGAACGCCACACCTGCTGCCAAGTGCTGTTTGACCGCAGAATTATGTTGTTTCCCTGCAATCAGACAGCCCTCCAACCGCCAATTACACCGAATTTCAGCCTTCATCACTCCCTCATCCACTCTCCATCCTACTACTCTCCTAACCCAGCCCTCAACCCATCTAGGAACCCTAATAGTCATCATTTTCCCAGCCTTCCATAAACCATAACCAATCCACCATCTTTCGGCAACCCCAATAGCTTCTTAACCCCGCCCAATCAAGAGCACTAAATAGGAATGAAAGGAGAATGATGACTCGTAATTGCAACAAGAAGAAATGATGACCTCTTATCCAACATCCCAGAAGTGTGGAACATGTAAGGTGGGTTGTTACATTCATATCCTCCATTTAGCTCAATCATTTGGGAGAGTTGTTTAGCCATTGTGTTTCAACTATTTGGACAAGGTTGAGGGGCAGCAATGATTGTTGGAAAAAGTGAAAATCCTATTATGAGTATGCTAAATAGGTAGAGTCACCTTCTAACACAACAGGTATGTCCCAAACATATCAACTAGTAAGTTGTGCATTCTGCCCCTCTTACTGGTTCAGATTTTTTAGGTAAGTGGTAAATACCTACTGGTTCAGATTTTTGAGGTAAGTGGTAAATACCAATGGTTGTTTAAACACTCTATCCATTTCCTTAATATTTTATTTTTTTGTAAAGTAGTTTGCTTTTAATCATATGAAATGTTAAATTCAAATTTAATATTTATTGTACATATATACTGAATTTTTGTTGAATTGGCAGATAATATATTTAAGGACATTTATTTTTCTCCATTAAAGGGCACATCTATCTTGCAACAACTTGTTATATAAACCATAGCTCAAATTCTTTCATTTAAAATAATAAAATGAAAAGTTTTTTGAGCTTGAATAGGATTTGAACAATTATTGTTAGAAGGGAGTCATCATAAGCTACAAAGGACATATCTGGATCAAGATAAAAACACTTAAAATAATCACCTGGAATATTTGATAAATATAAACCAACTCCCTCCAAGAGATAGGCCATATTCATCCATGCAAATATACATATAAAAACTGATTCTTAGAATAAACAATGATACTTCATACCTTCAAGTTGCGCTTTCCCAAAAATACAACACCACTTATCCTCCAACGTTGAGATGGATTTCCTCCCATAGACAATGCAACTAAAGGATGTGTCTTCATTAAGTTTGGTACAGCAGATGACGCAGTTTTTGTAAGCGGCGCATCCTATTCAATATTATATGCCAAAATAGAAAAATAGATTGCATAGTTAGAATGCAATTATAAAAATAATATAAATGAGATCCAAAGAAAAGAAAAAACCTAAGAGCTCCCACCACAAGACATGAAGCTAAAGAAGAAAAAACATGACAAAGAATTTGATTAAATAGACTAAATGCCCTTTAACTATCGGATCAACTGACATGCAGTAAATACTTCAGCCTTCTTTGGGATCAATTTTGTTTTATTTTTATTTTTATTCTTGTTTTATTTTTCCTTTTTCTTTTAACATATTTGATTAGTGTGTGATACCTTTCTAGGGCTCGTAGAAGGTGTGAAAGGATAAAAGAAAGGGATAGGTAAGTTGTAGGAAGGGTGAGGGAAGTGAGATAATGGATGTCGGCTGAAATCGAGCATGAACCGTTAAAGGACAGCAAGCCGGAAGTAGAAATTGTCGTTTTCTGCTCTCAAAAATCACTAGACAGCAAGTTGTACGATAAAAAAAGCCTTTGAGCGTCCGAGAGATATCACCACCTCGATCATATCATGTTACAAACACACCATCTGAAAGAAATTTAAGAATACAACGCTCCAATAAGGACAATTAGGAGAAAAATCTCTAAATAACACAGCAATAGCCAAAAAGCCTCAAAATACAAAAAATAACAAGATATAGGTAGTTTTCTCGAAGAAAATAACATAATTAAAAATAGGAAATAAATAAAAAAAGAACGAAAATCAAACATAATTTGATAATAGACTGAAGTCGCTTGGTTCGGTCTCTTCTGTGATCGCAAAAATCTTTGATTTTAGGAGATCATGGAATTACAAGAATGGGGTTGTGGAAATCATACAGTCAGGATTGATCGTGGAGATCACATGAACCGGATCGCGAGATGCTCGTTCTCACGTCATTCTCCCCAATTAAGCAAGGTATTTTCTTTTTTCTCTGTAGCCTTCTGGACTCGATCTACCATCATATCAAAGTCATTATACTATTTTGGTTGCGAAAGCTGCTGTACAAAGTCTATGCTCACATCCACACAAGACAACTCTGAAACATGTATGTATTTCTACAGTCTGTCCTCATAAAATAAATAATCATCCTTTAAAATAATATAAGCTAGAAATGCATATAGACGGGTATTCTCACGAACCAAGCCTCGAGACAATAAATCTATAACATGCTTCTACCACTTCTCATACTCGATTAGGCACATTCTAAAAATAAGTTTGTCTAGAGGAACTAACTCTGGAAGAGAATCTCTGACATGTTGAACCCCTCTCAGGGGCAACCACCCAAGAGGTAAACCGTTGGCCATGATATCTGACAACTCCCTCAATAAGGGCTGCCTCTTTCTGGTATTGGCTTCTCAGGCTCACTACCTTCTAGAAATTCAGTTGAAACATATCTCAAGGGCTCAGTCTAAATCCCTAGTCTCTCTTCCTCTTCGACAAGAAGTTGAGACTCATCTCCGACGTCTTCATCCTCTCCTATGTCATTGTTACAAACTAACATGATAACTTAGAATAAACCAAATCAGGAACAACATTCAAACGGTATTAACCTTTCTTTTAAATCATTCAATAATCAATCATAATTTCTAATAATAAAAAGAGACATTAAAAATTACAATAAACACTAAATGAAAATTTAAATCATTCAGAAAAACAACAAAATCTACAAGTAAAATAACAATTCAAACCAACACACAATAGTATATCACTACACATAAGTACACAATACAATAATTATAACAACAATATAAGCAGTAGTCCTATAAACTAAATCACTCATGTCAGACATATAAATCTTCATTTTTTCCTTAAAAAAAAACTAAATTCAACAATAAATTTTCCACCACTTAGTAAGCATTTACAATCTCATTATGTATTAAATTAATATGCAAATGTTATGCATGAATGTTTTAAGGGTGTGAAATTTATTGATAAATCAAAAACTATAAGCTTTTATTTCTAATTGAACCCTTTCCGTTATAATTTAAGTATTTATCATTTTCAATCTTCTTAAGAAGTCACAATTACCTTCATTACTAAAAGTATTTCAAAATTGTACCCATAAGTACTCTCAAATTTTTTGCACCCGAAGCTACATCTTTATCATTCACTTTCCTTTCTTCGTGCACAGATACATCACATCCTCCGACAGTACCATTTAGAAGTAATCCTAAAAGACTAAACCTTCATATTTCATTTTCTTTAAAATACTCCTAAAGATATTGAATAATCATTTTCCCTTCTTATTATCTCATTTCATTCATTTTAATAATTATTTTAACTTACAACATGTAATATAATTATAAAAACAGGTATTTGAAGCAATGAAGAGAGTCTTTATTAAATAAAACATCAATTGAATACTTATAAGAAAATAATTACTCACATTTATCTTAAAAGACCTTTGTAAGAACTTATTCGCTGACTTCACCTCCTCTGAATATCACATACATCAGTTAAAAAGTGCATATATTTATAAGAATTTCATCATAAAAAGAAAGACTTAAATAGAGCTAATTTTTAAAAAATATTTTTCTTTCAAATACCTTCCAAATAAAAAACTCTTCTAAGTCTTACCACTAATTCTTCTCATAAAACTGAAAATATGTCTAATGACACAATTAAAAATGACATATAAATAAGTACAAAAATCCTTACCTCAAAAGGCTTGGTTTATTTTCCTATACATAATCTCTTTTCCCGTTGCACTTAGATTTGATTCAGTATTTGATTTCATTTAGCATTTTATTTTTCTTCCTTTAATTTCTACTTAATTTAAACCAATTGTTAGCATTTTGTAAATAAACATATAATTTAAATAGATACCTTATTAAATCATTCGATCGCACGCTAACTCTCGATTGAGAGCTCTATCCCGCACGCATGAGCTGACTCCCTTCTCTTCGTTCTTCCTCTTCTTCGATGAGACACGAAACCAAGCACAATGTTGCCTCCTTCTCCTTCCTTCTCCTTCCTTTGGTTAGGGCACGACATCGCCTACTCCTTTGGCTACGCAAGCATCGAAGCCTCCAACACACACACAAACAGTGAATCATTTGTTTCTCTATCTTCTTCTTTCTTTTTCCTTCTCCTGTCTATCAATCTCTTTGCTCTCTCCTCCGCTCTCATGGTTTTGTTGGTTCGAAAAGGGTATACATCTACTAACTGAGTGAAATAGATCATCCAATCAACTTTTAGTCGTAACTGAAAAGTTGAGCTTATCCTTGGTACCCAATCATTTTATATAATAATAATTATTTTAATTATTATAATAATTATTAAAATTATTATTAAAATTTTAATTATTATAGTCACTGCCCCTTTTTCCAATTGCTCCCTACTCAATGAAAGAGATAATCCTCATGTTCAGGTAATCCAATGTGTTGACCCCAAAAATAAGGCACTCGACACACAACTGGGATGGATTTGTGAGCGATGATTGGCTCTACTTGTTATCCCCTCTTCGTGGATGGTCTACTAGGTGTATACTTGTTGCTTGATCCTGGGATCGAGCTCTGTCGACGTTTGACAAACCCGACATCAACACATGGGGACCTTGGAGATTTATTGCAAAATGGTTTACCAATGTTGGCGTGCACAAAATGCGAAAAAACATGACATACCTTTTGGTACTGCTACTGTTCTAGCCTCTACTTGTCTTGAAGCTTTGACCACAATACACAACTTCCAACTTCTGGAGCAATGGGACACTAATCAGTCCGGTAGACTATCACAAACTCCTTTTTGGTGTCCCCCCTCCCGGTTGGCTCAAGAGCAACTTTGAGGGCGGGCCTTCTTCCCTCTACATGGATGACATTGGTTTGGTTATTAGAGATGAGAAAGCTGACATTATTTTGGCGGTGGGTCATCCGGTGGAACATTGGGACAGCACACACGTGGAACTTGGGGCAATATTATCTATCAAGAATCATGTGGAACCATGGATGTATAAAGTCAAAAGTATTATCATTGAGAGCGATAACCAAAATATTATCAGCACTCTGCAGCAATCGCTGCTTGCTAACACTTGGAAGATTCAACCACTTGAAGTGGAAGGGTTCTCTTTTTTAGCTTCCTTCAAACAGGACCTTTTCCATTATATAAACATGAGAAAGAATATTGTTGCTCATACTTGTGCAAAAAAGGATATACATTTTTCTTTTTGTCATAAGAATGTTAATTGTTCATATTTTCTATTTCCTTTTGTTCATTTTGATCGAGCCCATATTTTGTTGGGCTAGGTTCTTTCTTTTTCTTTTATATTTTGTAATCCTTTTGTTTTAGTAATGCAAAATAAAAATTTCAAGGGATCAAACTCTGCCTATAAGGTGTGGTGGTTACCCGATAATGTTGCTACTTCTCCAAATTTAAGGTTAGAGTTTGAACATCATCTAAGGATATAACTGTACCACTTTGTCTGTGAACAGTTTCAATACACTCAGATATCAAGCAATGGTGTTCTCCTTGGGCTCTATTAGTCTACACTTCAACATAAGTTACTTAAACTCAGTGATATATTCCTCTACATATAAAGATCTTGGTGTTGTGGGTGTTTAACCCTAAAGAATATATCATATTTGTAATATACTGACAGATACTTGCAATGCATTTCTCGTTCCATTTTGGACTAGATATTAATTTTATTCTTCCAATTTCGTTGTCAAAGATGCTTTAGGTGTTCTCACCATAAAAAAAAACATTCTTCTTTAATTTAATGGTGGCTAGTTTTATCATTGTCTAGTTAGACATCCTTATACTCATAGGCATGTTCCATTATCTGGGGTCACTCAATAAATTCATCTAGATCCATGAGACCATTAAAATCTGGTAAGTTGATATTCACTCCAAAGTCATGACTTCTCATTTGATATTCAATGCCAAATCAAAGTGGCATTGATAGTTCATCACTAGAAACTTCTTGATATCCCTTCAATAAACCTGGAGAGTCACCGTTGTGGCTACAGTTTACCTCACCCAATTGTCTCCTC